GGGCTATCCAACCATATAAAATTTGGATAAAAAATATGAGGCACGAAAATCATATCTGACTATCTTTGAATGTCTTTCAATTCGAATAGAATTATGACTTTCAAAAAAAGAAAAGTTTTATTCAATTTCAAACTCTTTAATCTTATCTTTTCAAAAAGTATAATTAAGATATTTTAGAAACTTATAAAAGCTTATAATTAATCCTAATTGGTTTAGGAATGGGATTAAATAATTTGGACCCTCCACATGATCATTGGGTCGTAGGTAAGGTGGGCTTAGGTTCGGTTTGGGCTCGGCTTAATATTTTGGCTATAACTTATTCGTTATAACTTGGATTTGGGCTTATAATATATCGTTGGAAAGCTCTTTTCAAACACCATCCAAATATTCAATCATTGGACCCATATTATGGACCAAAATAAACTGGAATAAACGTTTTTTATAAAAGGGACATGAAATGAATGATTTTAAAGGACACGAAATGAATTATTTTGTGTTTTAAGGCACGAAAAGAGGAAAATAAGTTATGGTTTGGGGAAATGGGATAGAAGTTGGGTTGGTTTATGAAATGAAAATATGGATTTAAGCACTCTAAGATTAAATACTCAACCCGACCAATAATGACGGTGAAAGGTTGTTCGTCATCGGGTTTGGTTTTGGGGAGACATTTTTAGCTGTCTACAGTTCCAGACTTATTGGAGTTAATGATCTCTTGGATCGTTAAGGGGTGTAACCTTCACCCTGTGGACGGTTTACAAGTTCCTAAAACTTGTTGGCAACTCTTTTGCTCTAACTTCCTTCCCTTTGGACGCCACCATGCTTAAGTGTATGATCACAGTGGGGCTCAAGTGTGGGATGACTTGAAATATTCCCTGCAATAGGGTCCTAGGAAAACGTGTCCTACCCTAGGGTTTGATGACCTAGGGATTAGGGCAGCGCCTTTTTGTGACGCCTCTTAGGATTTGGGTCTTGAAGGCCGCCATTTCCAGGGGCATATTTGAGTGACACGTGTCGTCCATCTGGAGAGTCCATTTGGACGTCTCTCAAAGGGACACGTGTCGCTCTCTTATTGGTCCACTAGGGGTATTAAATACCCCAAATCAAATCCCATTTATGACTTATCCAACAATATGCCATACTTTGACATATCTTTGATGGGAATGGGTACAGAAACAAGTTTATCTTCATGCAATTGCACGTAAACTATGGCACGTGTCACATAACCTTAAATGAAGGAATATTTTTTCACTCTTTTAAGTATTTTACTTTTAAAAAATTATATAAACCTATTTTTCTTAGAGCACCAACCACAACACTTAACTTCATCCCCTACTGCTGCTATTAGGGCTTAGCAAAACTATTTAAAAATTCAAAATCCAATAATCCAATCCACATTTAATCCAAAAAATATGGATATCCGATCAAAAATTCTAATTCGAAAAAAATTGGATATCGAATTTATATATACAATATTGGTGCAGATATCCAGTATCCAAAAAATACATTAGAAAAAAAATCACATACTACATATTTTCCCTCATTTAGAGTTTAGACCCCCACCAAACTGGAAGAGATTCACTTATTTAATTATTTTCTTCATTTAGACCCCACCAAACCCTAAAATTTAGTTTCCCGCATTTAAACTCCCACCCCACCTCTCTTTCTTTTCTCTATTAATCCTAACTTTATCTTTTCTCTTCTCATATCAAATGTCAGCCTCTTAAAGTCTCATATCTCCTCCAACGACAAGCTTCTCATCTTCTTCCTCAATCTTTGCGGTTTCTTCCTCGCATTGGTCATTGGGGGGGTGTAGCAAGTGGGGGCGGTGGAGATTGTGGTTGGAGGAGGTGGCTATTGGGTTGGTTTTGGAGGTGGAGGAGGGAGGAGGTGGTTTCCGGTGGAGCAGGGGAAGAGGGGATGTGACTAGGGAAGAGAAAATGACTTCGATGGTCGGTGCTGGGAATGGGGTGGCAGATTGTTTCTTTTTTTAAGACCAATGAAAGTGTGACAAGGGGCATCTTTAGAATTTAAAAAAAAAAACCTTTTCAGGGATTTTCGAGATTCTTAGAATATAACGGATGTGAAAGTAGGGATTATAGCAGAATAAATGAAAGTTGAGATTATTCAAAACAAATCGACCAAAGTTGGAATTATTAAAGTATATTTATATCCCACAACTTATTATCTCAATAAATGTGAGGATTTGTTCGTTTGATGAGCAATCAGAGAATACATCTTATGTAATCGATTGTATAAAGGCTACTTCTATTAGATGGTGTTGCCTATATGTCATAGTTCACGATTTTTGTTTGGCATCGTTTTTTATTTTTTCTTTTTTAATTAAAAAAATTGGAAAAAAATGTGCTTTCACTTTTCAGTTGTCAATTTTCAAAATCATCGTGTTTTTAATAAGTTTGACTAATTTTTTATTCATTTTATGACATATATCATATGATTTTTATTGAAAAACAAAATACCAAAAAAAAAGTGAACCACAACGATACCAAACGAAAATTTTCATATATTATGACATAATATTTACATATCATGACGTAATATTTTTCTCACTAGACAATAAAATATGAATATAACAATTCAAGATCGCTCGAAATATTAACGATTTGATATTCCACAACGAAATGAAAACATGTACAGAGTGTTATATAACAAGTACATAGCAATCGATTATTTGTATCAACAATTATAATATTTTTTGTTAGCAAATAACAAAATATGGCCCGACTAAGGATGTGACACGTGGGTATAAAATGTGGGTCTCGCATCGCACCCGCCCTAGACCTAGTTGCGATGGGAATGGGTACAAACTTGGTGGGTATGGATACAAAAGCCATACTTACACGTGGGTAGGGGCGTTCAAAAATCGGTCCGGACTAAAAATGGAAAGACCTGCCGGGCTGAATTAATCTATCCGGTCTTTAGGTTGCAAAATTCATTTTTTCGGTCTTCGATTCGGTCTGGTCCAAGACTGGTCCAAAACCCAATAAAAACCGATCTTGGACGGGCCTAATTTTTTACTTAAAATATGCATAAAACCTTTAATAATGATTAAATTATCCTTATTATGCCTAGAAAAAAATTAATTTCATGAGCTTTTTATACTAATCTTACATAAAAAGACGTTACACAAAGTAATATTGTTTCTCCTTTATTTTTTCTAGTTTTCCATAAAAAAATCATAAAATCTTTCCAAAGCGATTGGTCCGGGTTTTGGACCGATTTTTTTCAATCCGGTCTGGGTTCAGCCCCATCTTAATCGGTTCGGTTTTCAGTTCTTAAAATTCTAAATTTCGGTCTTCGGTCTAGTCCGGGTTGGTTCGGTCCAGTCTTGAACCGATGAACAACCCTAATACTGGGTAGGTGGTGGATTTTGAGCTATACCCGCGCTATTATTCACATGACCCGCCCATTACCCCCTATTAACCCGCATAACCCGCCCATTACCCGCCTACTTACCTGCATAACCGCCCAAATACCCACATATTGCCTAGTATCATTATATATTATGCTATTATATATATTCACAACAATTTAAAGTGTATAATGACTAGTTATATAGGAAATATATTAAAAAGAATGTTGAGTTGGCGGGTAAAAGACAGGTGGTGGATATCCACTTAGGTGGTGGAGCAGGTATGAGTTTAGGTTTCTAAATGCTTAGGCGGGTGCGGGTGTTGAAATTTTACCTATCACGGGTGATGGGTATAAAATATTTTGGCAGGTGCGGGTATGGGGGAGGGGGTATCCGCACCCACGCCGCCCAATGAAATTTTATGGTACAATAGCCTGTACCTTGCTTGGTATAGATAAAAAAACCCAGAAAGAACATGTAGTTATTTTATAAAGAACAAATAGTTATTTTAATAAAGAACATATAGCTATTTTGTAAAGAACTTCTAATGTTATGTTTTTTTCTTTTCATTTTTTATATATAAGGAACATTTGTAATATTAATAAAGAACATGAAAATCAAGCCCGTATTTGAGATTTTGGTGGTCTAGGGCGAACATTTAGATTGGGGCCCTAATTAACAAGTATTATAATTTTTTTATATTATTATCATAATTATCGTCATCATCATCATCATCATTATTATTATTATTATTGAGGATTAAGGGTATGCAAAATGAAGATTAGCCTCCTTAAATCTAACTCATAATTACATATCAAATATGAAAACTAAAACACAATGAAAAGCTTGAAAACGTACTAGTTATATTGCGTCAATTGCATCACATTAATTTGTCTTAATTAAAAGCTTATTAAAATGTAGATTGTCCATTACAAATCTTACAAATTTCATATGGTTGAACACGATTTACCAATATTTTATTTTTTGTAAAAAATCAAGATATTAAGTAGATTTTTGAAAGGAAAAATATACAATTTTTTTTAACAAAGTTAGAGCTACGGGTTGTAATTGAAATTTTAGAAATATCAAAAAGGGGATTCATTTAGCAAATAACTACGGAGTACTCCATTAGAAGCAAAAATCAGGAGAATTGGAACCTTTAATTTGCTTTGAAAACTAACGAATTACACAAGATGACAAGACCTAAAATTGCTTTGAAAGCTGACGAATTACACTAGAATTGTATGGAGCATTAAGTAGTTTCAGAAATTTTTATTTTTCTTTTACCAGTAGTAATTTTGCGGCCCTTTTTTAACCAATTTTTGGACTTTACAATATTGGGCCCTGAGCGGTTGTCCCACCTGCCCCGCACCAATTACGGACCTTATGAAAATATTATGTAATGAACATTATTATATATACACCATAATAGGCAAAATTCAAAGAACAATACACAATAAGCAATGAAACATCATATTACAAATAATAGTAAATTACATTGACAATCAAAGAACATGAACATATGTTCTTTTCACTCCTTTTTGGTGCATATATGGTCTTTTTACTTTAGGTATATGTTCATTATATTTTCATAGTTTGTTCTTTTCATTACACTTGTACGTTCTTTACATTTGTACATCATGTTCTTTCCGCGAAACAACGGTAAGATACAAGGTACCCACGCCTGTAGTAACCACACACTGGCCGCCCAATTGCCACCCCTAGGCCCGACGTGCGGGCTCGAAAATTAACCCGATCCAACTTGACTCAACCCAATATGATCCGCCCCGAGCTTAACTTGACCCGATGAATTGTTGACCCAAAACCCAAACTGACTCGTCCCGAACCTGGGTAGTTTGCCAGGTTTACAAGTATGGTTAAAAAAAAAAAAACCGATGAACGTTGACCAAATGTCTTCCTCCTCTCTCTCAATTTCTCATTGAAGCGCACTCCACGTTCTCCATTGATATCTCTATCCTCCATTAAAGCAGCTTCTGAGGTAAGTTATTGTTCCTTTTTGCAATTATCGAATATCAATTTCACAATTTAGGGTTTATTGTTGATCTAATTTAATTTAATTGTCTGTATGAGTATAGTAAATTTAGGGTTCGAATTGGACTATTGGTTCTAATTACTAAGAGGTCTGAAAGGTCATAACGAGCGATTATGTTGCTAGAGAAGAAAATTATGAGCATAATTTGATATTTGAATCAAATATGCCCTTTTTCTCCCTAAAATTATGTGATTTTTGGAGCCTAATTTGATAATTGAATCAAATTTGCCTTTTCTCCTTAAAATTATGTGATTTTACGAGACTAATTTGATAATTGAATTAAATGTGCCTTAAAATTATGTGAATTTTCAAGCCTAATTTGATAATTGAATCAAATGTGCCATTCTCTTTAAATTGTGTGACTTTTCAATCCTAATTTGATAGTTGAATCAAATTTGGTTGCTAATGTATTGCAGAACCTTTCTAGGATTGAACTAGGAAATTGGACCTCTTAGCCTTGGCTGTGAGAATACTAAGAGAAACATTTGTGTAAGACCGCCTTACTAGACCACTTTTGTGAGTCACTACAATTCTATCCCAGGTCAAAAAAAAAAAAAAAACCCCTTCATTTAATAAGCATAGAAATCGGTTCTAATCCATGTTTATTAATTATTTTGGCTAGATTTTAGTCTTGGCGCATTATGGATGCAAACAGAGATTCAGGGGGTAGAATTTTCCGGAACAGAGAGCGGCCATCATATGCTCCATACCAAAAGGATCGTAGAGGTTTTAGGTAACCTCTCTTAATTTTTTTTTTTTTTTTTTTTTTTTTGGAGGGGGGGTGTGTGGGGTGGAGGCTAGCTTGTGTTATACCTTATACGTGTGTACACATACATATGTATTTTAAATTTCATGGTTGAACTTGTTCTAAAATTAGATATATGTAGACCTGGCTAACAGGTCATTCGGGTCGGGTCAATTTAGGTCGGGTCAAGTTCGGGTTAACAAATGTTCGGTTCAGGTTCGGGTCGAGTCGGGTCAATTCGGGTTTTAGCTCAAAATCGGGTCAAGTTCTGGTCGTGTCAATTCGGGTCAGGTCTGTTCGGGTCGGGTCAATTTTTAAGATCAATTTTCGGTTCAATTTCGAGTCGAGTCAAATTCGGATCGAGTCAATTCGGGTCGGGTCTATTCGGGTCAAGTTTGTGTCGGGTCACCAAATAAATTCACTTTTAAAAAATAGTTGGAAAAATAAAGTAAAATCGTTAAAAAAAAAATCATGAGTGCCTATTACGTAGGAAATAAAGAAGCCCAAAACTAAGTAATTCACTATTTCACCCTATTCACTTAGGATTCGGGTCAATTCGGGTCGGGTCACTACGGGTCAGGTCAGGTTAATCAATTTGGGTTAAAATTGGGTCTAGTCACTTCGGGTTTCGGGTCATTTCGGGTCGGGTAAAGTTCGTGTTTCGGGTCAATTTCGGGTCAGGTCATTCGAGTCGGGTCACTTCGGGTCATCGGGTCATGTTCGGGTCAACTCGGGTTCGGGTCGAGTCGGGTTAGTTCGGGTTCGGGTCATTTTCGGGTCAATGATTTCGGGTCAACTTTCGGGTTACGGGTCATGTCATTCGGGTCGGGGGTCAATCAGGTCAGGTCAAGATTGCCAAGTCTAGATATATGGAATTGTTTATATCTTGAGACTTATATAGAGCTGCATAATTAATTTTTCAAGTAAAGTATGCTTGTTACGTCGAGGTACATGAGAATTGACATTTGAATTAAGTGTGATATGTGTCATGTGCTAATGTCATGTTTGTTTGTTTTTTTCTTTAATGTATCATGAGATCAGGTTTTGGGACACACATGATATGTATAACATGCTTTCTTTATTAATTTGATGTCTTGCGTTCATGGCTGGCGCATGCTATGGATGTAATGCTTACATCTCTCAATTATGATGTGTCTTGTTTAGAAGAAATTAATAAAATGTGGAACCACCCTTTGTACCCAATTTTCAATGGTGGCATTACAATTTTGAGATGCTTTGTCCGCCCCCATAAGTGACTATAGAGAACTTTTTCTTTTGAAATTCTGAAAACTTGAATTTATTTGGGAATGAAGGAGCATATGCTAAACAGATTACCTGCTATGCTATCTAAGCAAGATAAAAGAGGGGGAGGGGTAGGGGGTTAGGTACATACTTTAGGCTCCTCTCTAAAGTTTTCTCACCTCCTCATGATAAGCGATTCTGTGACAGCCATTGTATGTAGTTTACAAGCCCTTCCGGTTGGTATGGAGAAATCATCAGCAACTTTAATTAGTATGAGGTTTATATGATAAAGTCTCCTGAAAATGGCAGCGTTAAGCGTGAATGTAATTGGCCTTGGCTAAAGCAGTAGCATAATGTTGCTATTATAGTTTAAAAGGACTGAGATATGATGTGTTCACTAGATGTAAGTTGCTGTCATTCAATGTTGCAGGGGCTTCACTGTTCAATTACCTTTATGTCTTGGTGGGTAGTCTGATGGTTGTTTTCAGTGGTGGATCTTAGTGTTTTTTGAATAATGATCAGCTAGGGCATTTCTTCAGGGGATAACTTTCCCAGGGTTTTTTTTTGTCCCCATTTATTTTTCATTTGTGGAAACAAAGGCAAATTAGGAGCAGTGGAAGAGAAGAACAAGGAGGTTTAGTTTGATGTTTTTTAGCGTACTTTGTGATTTTCTACACAACAGATACTCTTGGCTGTTACTTTGATCATTTTTAGAAGTTATCAACATATATGGACAATCAACTTCTGATTTAGTTCTGTAAGGACTATACTAACGGCCCGATTGGTAGCCGGTAATAAATGGTGGTAATTGAAATGAATTTTAAGTGCGATAATTGGAATGAATTTTAAGTGTAAATTAGGAGTGAAATTAACATTGTAATCTCCATGGTAATGCAATTTCAACATCAGGCATGTGTTCATCATTTTATTTTTCAATTGCCATCCATTACCACTTTAGAGGAGGTGTTAGGTTGAAATGAAAATTTCTAAAGGAAAATGGTCATTTTGGTGTAAGCTAGCATTATCATGGTCATGAACCTTGATTTTCCTTACAATTTTAAATACAAATTCATTTCTATTACCATCATTTATGCCACATACCAAACAGGCCGTAAATTTAATCTGCTGACTTGATTAGAATTGAAGGGGCAGTAAAATTTACAGCCTGAAGCAGCTCTAAGGACTGGAAGTTAATTAGTGGTTTGCCTGATTCTTAAATGGAAAGTGGAAAAGATTGAAGTTCCTTGAGGTTTTATTTTGGAACATAGAGTTGATTATTAGAATTACTAATTGTTCTGGAATGTTAATTTATTCATTTCCATGTCACAAATGTTTGGATAATTGGAAGAAATTTCACAGTTGTTTAATCCAAGTGCACTAATTGAAGAGGAATCAAAGATCAATAGAGTTATAAGATATAGGACAGAGAACATGCAAAGTTTAGGGCATGGGGCAATCAAAGATTTTACCCCTTGTGAACTATCATAAATTCATTATCATCATTTGTCAGCACTTCATTTTTCAAAAGTTACTCATGATTGGAGGGGAGTGGTTTGTGGTGGATTTTTTAGGAGAGTGCTTGAAATTGAATGAGAGTTTAAGTAAAGGTCTAAATTGACGATGTTGAAGCTGTTTTATGGCAAATTAAAAATGTACCCCCCCGGGGGCAGACCGTTAACTAAAAAAGGCGAATTATAACATGAAAGTGGTACATTTCCTTGCCTAATTTAACATATTAGGAAGCAAATTGTGGACTCATACCCAATCTCATATTAGCGAGCTAGGTAACTATGGTTGAAACTCAAATTACTTTAATGTCCCTGAAATATATTCCATTATAAAAACAAACGTTTGTTTGGTTGGCTTAATTTATGTTGCTTATTTGCTTAATATTATTGCTATTGTTACTGTTATTGTTATTATTAAATTGCTATATGTATCTCAGCTATGTGCATAGGCTAATCTCCCTTTTTTTTTCTTTGGTAAGTGAAAAAGCTGATTTTCATGTACAGTAATTGTTTGATATTATAAGATCATTTCATGCATTGTAAAAAATTAGTAAAAGTAGTATAATGATATATTATTTCTATGGCAATTGGACTTTTTGTTTTACATATTAACTACTCCCTCCATCCCTAAATAAAGGTCATAAGTCTTATTTGCCTTTAGCGCAAGTTTTTAGGAAGGTGATTAAAAAAAAGATTGAGGGTTTGGTTGATTAAAGGTGAATACTTAAAAAAAATAGTGTTTTGTTGATTAAAAGTGAATAAAAATAATTAGATAAAGGTGAAGTATGACTTATTTAGGAAAGGATTTTAGGTGAATGGGACTTTTATTTGGGTACAAAGGGAGTTTGCCTTTTATTTATTTTTGAAGAATTTAGTTATAATCATACTATATTTGAAGAATTGTCTTTGAAAGCTAGCTCATAAATTGCTCTAGTCATGGTTTACAACAATTATTTACCTAATTTATGTTTGGGCTATTTAACCGCATTGATTACTTAAAGCCCCAAGTTATCGAAAAAAGGCCATTTTCTTCTTTGATTTGGTTTTTCATTCGAATCTTTGATCAAGCTTATTTGACTTCTTAACAGATCCTCTGCTCCTCTAGTGATGCAAGTCTTGCAACATGGGGGAGTGCACACAATTTTAGATGTTGGATATTTCTAAATCAACAAATATAAACAAGTAAAAGTATATTGAGTATGTTTAGTGTGAAAGTAGATGTATGTTTTCATAAAGTGGGTATATACAAGATAAATGTTGCTATATATATTAGAAATGGATGAAGTATTATCATTCCAAAGTTTTCTTCTACCAAATCTTATGGTTAAATATTATAATCATATTGCATGTATAATAGTTAAGCTTATGTTATATGTACATGGCTAATAAAAGGTATTACGTAATTCGGACCCAAAAAATCTATAAGCTGTGTTTATTTTTTTTATATATACTTTTACTCTAAAATTTGTATAATTGCTAAATTGACATTTTCTTTGTGTCTGATACTTCTTAAATTATTATTGATTCTATCAACCGCCTCAACATGCCTAGTCGAGGGCTATGCCTCTATCATCTCCTCGGTATGCCTAGCCGGGGGATATGCTTCTATTAACCATCTCGGCATGCCTACTTGAGGGTTATGCCTCTATCATCTCCTCGGCCTTCTCGGCATGCCTGGCCGAGGACTATGCCTCTATCATCTCCTCAGCATGCCTAGTCGAAGGCCATGCTTTTATCAAGGCTATGCTTCCATTACCTCCTCAGCATGCTTAGCCGGGGGCTATTCTTCTATCAACCTCCTCGGCATGCCTAGCCGAGGGCTATGCCTCTATCGTCTCCTTGGCATGCCTAGCCGAGGGCTATGCTTCTATCCTTTCCTCGGCAAGCTTTTATCTATTCTCATCATTGCCTAGCCAAGGGATATGCATCTATCAACCCCTCATCATGCCTAGCCGAGGGCTATGCATCTATCAACCCCTCGGCATGTCTAGCCGAGGGATATGCTTCTATCAAGCCCTCGGCATGCCAAGCCGACTTAGCATGCCTACCTAAGGGTAATGCTAAGGTGCAAGCATCCCTCTTGAAGATGAACTTTACAAGATCAAGGAGGTTATTTACTCGAGGGTCTTCCACTCACAAATTCCAAATAGCAAGGCCCTCAGCTATCCTTCCCCATCTATCATGAATATCTACAAGGTGGAGCATGCAACCGATATGCTTGTAATGCGGACTTAAGATGTTGTGTCTAAGCAACTTCTCAAATAACAATGATGCCCTAGGGGCATCAGAGCTTATACTAGAAGATATTTCTTTTAATAGCGCATCACTTTCATTTTTCGGGTTGGTTATCTACATAGCTGCCTAAAGCTCTAAAATCTCGGGAATTCATTATCTTCTTAAAAAGCACCGGGCCTTCCTTCGTACAAGACACCCCGGGTCGCTAACTAACGTTATCAATAACAAATTTGTTCCAATGTTTGGGGCAAGATGCTAGCCTTATTTGAGATAGTGTCCTGGCAAATCGCTTGAATAACAAATGGCTCGTTTAGCCCTCAGCCTATCCCAAAAGATAGGATAGCCTAGCTCTCATACATCTTTAACTTTGGGCTCGATTAGCCCCTCATCCTATCCCAAAAGTTGGGATAGCCTAGCTCATATACATCTATAACTTAGGGTTCGTTCAACTCTCGGCCTATCCCAAAAGTTGGGATAGCCTAACTCTCATGCATATGATTTTGGGATCGTTTAGCTTATCCTAAATATTGGGATATTCTGTCTCTCATACATATATAACAAGGGGCTCGTTTAGCCCTCAGCCTATCCTAAATATTGGGATATTCTAAATATTGGGATATTATAAATATCCTAAATATTGGGATATCCTAAATATTGGGATATTCTAAATATTGGGAAAGCGTACTATTCATTCATTATTTTAACTTAGGGACTTATTCAACTCTCAGCCTATCTCAAGATTTGGGATAGTGTACCATTCACTCATTATCATAACATCAGGCTCGTTTAACCTTCAGCCTCAATGATGGAGATAGCGTATCGCTCATATATTATTATAACTTTGGGGCTCGTTTAACCCTTAGCTCATCTCAATATTTGAGATGAAGCAAGAATCAGCTCTCGCAAGAGGGTTAAATGCTAAAACATTAAGGCCGAAAGATCTCCTCAATGCAAGTCATGCGCACCCCAGGGACAAGTTCCTACAACTTCAACAAAATTCAAAAGTTTGAAATAATCATCAAGCCAAGCCCACATAACATTCAGCATATTTCAATTAGGAGAAAAAGAATTTTTTCTTGGGTTTGTGACAAACTCAAAAGCAAGACATACCCTAGGCTCTAGCGTTGCTATATAAGGCTCAGCTCCCGGCTTATCTATATCAACCCTTAACCTTGGGTTATTTTTAGCAAAGATTATGCATGCCGAGCTCTTGGCTAATTGGCCCGTGAAGCCAGGCCCTTGGCTTAGAGGAGGCTTGACCCTCACCATGACAAGTCAAGCCCTCAACGTCTCTCAACCTAGAGTTGGCTCTTTAGATTACTCCTTTCGCTCGGCCTATTCATCACTCTCTCAGCTTATCCTCCCTCTGCTCGGCTTATTCAATCACTCTCTTAGCATCGCCTCCCTTCGCCTGAGGTATAAAGTTCTTAGGGTTATTTTGAAAGAGTACCTCGGCTCGGGGTATAGAGCTTCTTGACTTTTTATTTCTCAAAGTACTCTCGCTTGGGGGTATTGGTCACTTGGTTTATTTCTCAAGATACCTCCGCCGCCTAGGGGTGTACAATACTTGGTTTATTTCTCAAGATACCAAAGCAATTGGTTTATTTCTCAAGGTACCTTCGCCTAGGGGTATAAAGCACTTGGGTTTGTTGTCAAAGCACCTTCGCTCGGGGTACAAAGTTTCTTAGGTTTTTATTCTCAAAGTTCCTCCCGGGTATAACCTCATCAACACCCAAGATCTTAGTCTATCCGCATAAAAGAAAGAAAACTCTCACCCCTTCGGCACTCGAGTGACCCCCTCGGCTTGTTACCAACCTCTTCAGCACTCGGATAAGCCGAATGCCCTAAGCTTAATAGAACTACAAAATTATCTTCCCTCCACTATTCCGTGTTTAATCCTCAAATTTTTCTTAGTAAAAGGACTTGTCTATTTAAGCACAATTTTCGGCTATGCCTAGCTATACTCGAGCCGAAATTCATGTCCATTGCATTTTCCAAGCCGGCTTACCTTACTCACCTTCGCCTACGGGTAGTAAGCCGGGCTAAGCCCTCGGCGCGCATCGACAACCCCTCGGCCAGGCATGACACCCCCTTGGCTTGACGTGACAACCCCTCGGCTCTCACACTTCAATAAGCTCAAATCTCTCATCTAAATCCTCACCCTCCACTCAGCTTTCTCATTTGCATCCCGTAAGCAAACCCCTTCGGCACATCCTTCAACCCCTCGGCCAGCACCTCCCTCGACTAGCCGAATGCGCTATCCTCGCACATCTACCGCCTCGGACATACCTCACCCTCTCGGCATCTCTCTTACCCAATCAGCATACCACAGCCAAGCAGAACGCTCGGCTTAGTTAAAGCCTCACTCTCTTTGCTCCCTCTGCCTCACTCATCCCTCATCAATCAATTCCCTTGGACTCTCAATGCTCCTCACTCAATCACTCCACCCCGCTTTGCTTCTCTCCTCACAACCCTTCGGCCTATACTACCATATCCCCAGACAATACATTCCCTCGGCCATGAAACCACGACCGAGCTTCAGCACCACAACTATTCTATCCTAGCACTGAAAATTCGACCCAGCTATGCCCCTATGAAATTCAAAAATTCCAAAGTGCGAAATCTAATTAAAACGCATATATAGCCGAAATTCATAGGCCAATCCCAAAATCGAAACACTTGAATTCGAAATTCGGAAAATTGCAAGTACATAAACACATATTCATGCATGCAGATCTACAAAAATCGAATAAAAAGGAACCCTTGGTAAAGATTTGGGCCAGCAAGCATCAAAATAGTGATGATAGCCTTCGGTCACTACGGGTCAGCTTTATCGGAATGTCCAAGCACTCAGTGCATTGTAATTCAAAGATACAAAAAGTAGTTCTTGTCTTCAGATATGCATAGCCACGTTCTCATACAAGCCTAACAAATGAAAGTTGGAATAATTGATGAAGAGCTTTAATTATTGGCATAAAACAAGTAAGACACGTGGGGTTCATGTGAAGGAATTAGAAGACAAGTGAATCACATCAAATCTTAAGCTAAATGGGCTTTATTGCTTACTTGAGCCCAAGTGTAGTAGGCATCACTTATCCTTCGCTTAGCTAACAATCAAGACAAGTCATGCTCTCCGCTAGGCATTGGGCTTACCTCTCATGATACTAAGCTCTCAGTTGTCCATAAGCCATCATTCATCATCCGGCTTAGCCCTCGGATATACTCTCAAAACTGCTCAGTTATATCTACTGAAGTACTTCTAATGCATTGCTTGGGGCTGGTCTTCACCCTTGCAAGTCGCTTTGGGGCTCTTTTTAGCCCCTAGGTACACTTGGGGCTCATTTTAGCCCTCGGGGATATGACAACTTCTATTATACTCATTCCGCATGACATCCGAACTTAATGCGTTCTTGTTCTCACATCACGCGTGGGGCTAAATGTTTGGGCCTAGTCCATTGTCCTAAGCCCATTGACCCTGGAATTACGAAAATACCCCTCCTTGATCCAGCCCATTATTAGTCAGAGCAAAGTATGGATTTACCCCTAATCTGTCCAATTAAGTACAACTTCTGAAAGTACATCTGTAAAAAGCTCTCCAATCATTAATGATGGTAACTTTTTTCTAATTCTCTAACCTTATCTCTCTACTTTCTCTCTCTAAAGTACTCTTTCTCTCTCTACTTTCTATCTCTAGAAAGTGCATTCGCTGACTTAAGCATCGGAGGGGTTTTCCCGGGTCACACCCCCGGGGAGTTAACCTTCTTTCTCTTTTGCAGGCCTAGCTCTCGCACAACAAGGCATAGCTGAGGAGAATTCGGACATTCATTGGACATAGCTCTAGGACATCTTGATTTCATTACCCTAACACCGAGGAGTATTCTGCTTCTAGAAACATTTATTAACAAATTTCAACCTTTATATCATGTGGGATATTTGTTTGTTTTCCACTGTTGCCAATATTTATAATACATATTTAAAAATCTCATATTGGTTGATAAACCCCGTGTGCTAATTAATTGTATGTCTTTCCAACTTTTTAGGATTATTTTTTAAGTCTTTCTTTCTCAGATAAGCTTTCTGCTAATGACTGATTTTTTGTTTTTCCTATCCTTGTTTTTATTCCACCATTACTAGTTACTGCTATTAATATAAATTACTTTTCCAGGCAAAGTTATCTATGTAAGAACTGTAAGCGGCCTGGGCATTTTGCTAAAGAATGTCCAAATGATTCTGTGTGCAACAACTGTGGGCAACCTGGGTAAGTATATGAACCTTTGTTGCATAATGAGTTCAATTTATCTAATAAGGTACATTGGTCATTTGTTTTGTTCTGCTTTAACTGAGTGTGAGATTATCTTTGCAAAAATCATTGTCAAAATAATTGTGCTATGATTTTCTTTTGATTTTTGAATTTTCTATGTCCTTAATCAACAGGAAGAGGGAAAGGGCTAGGGGATGATTAGTTTTGACTTAATATCTGGAAACCCTGTGTCTACCTGTGCGAATGATGCCTCCCGCACATAATCAGAGAACCCTGACTTGACTTTATGGTGTGGAGGGAAATGATCCTTTTTGAAAGTTTGTTGACTGATTTGTCTAGATTTTACAAAACCCTGAAGTCATATGCTTAGTAAGCAATCAGGCCATGATCAGTATTTTGATTCCTGGAATTACTGTTAGAGCTCTTAAAGGTTCGGGTAGGAAACCAATTTATGTATAATTAGGCTAATCTCTGCATGAGGTTTGCCAGAAGTCCAGAACTATAATTTAAAGGAAACCAATAGTCTGTTCTCTACGACGATTGCACCCGGAGGGGTGTCGCCGGACGCCTTTGTCCATGTTGGGACAAGCGGTTTTGTAAAATAAGCAACCATCCGACCATACTAGCCTTCGGTCTTGTTTGAGACCGGTTGTATAGCCACTAAGCGTTTTTGTGCCCAGTTTTTACGCAAACTTAGTTGGTTGAACAAATAAACCCCAGACGGATAAGCAATTGATAATTACACCAAGTATCAAACGTTATTAATTAAACAAAGAGTCCATCTGAGCCTTACTCAGGCGGACTAATAATTATTAAATTACACCAAGTATCAAACTTAGTGATTCAAACAGAGAGTCTGTCTGAGTTTTACCCGGGCGGACTAGCAATTATAATGTTCAACTAAACTAAGTATCAAACTTAGTTAGTTAAACTCCGGGTGCGTCTGAGCATTGCCCAGGCGGACGAACAATAATAATGGCAAAATAAATCTGCAAACAAAGCCTGAATTTTCATTAATTGACTATCGTTTACAAAAAATACATTCTCAGAAGTAGTACTTTTTTAGATTGTCTACATTCCAAGTTTCAGGCAGACGGCGACCGTCTGGGGTTTCCAGACGGTAGGTGCCGTTCCTGACTTCTTCATAAATCCGATAGGGGCCTTCCCAGTTAGGGGTTAGCTTCCCAGCCTCATTGGCCCTACCGGTTGCCTCCATTTTTCGTAACACAAAGTCATCCACTTTCAGAGGGCTCTTGTGCACTTTCTTGTTATAAGCTCTGGTCATTCTCAGACGGTATATCTCATGACGCAGGGCAGTGTTGCCCCTGCGTTCCGGGAGGGAGTCCAATGCCAGCCGCATGGCCTCCCAATTTGCCTCTTCATCATATAGCATGACTCTAAGAGTCGGCTCGTAATGTTCGATGGGCAAGACGGCTTCAGCACCGTAAACCATGAGAAATGGGGTTTCACCGGTTGCACCTTTAGCAGTAGTCCGGATGGCCCATAGGACATGAATTAACTCTTCTGGCCATAAACCACCGGCTCTTTTAATTTTCTTTTTTATGCCGTCTGAGATGAGTTTGTTGAAGGCTTCAACCTGGCCGTTTGCCTAGGGTCAGCCGACTGATGCAAAACAATGTGAGATACCCGGATCCCCTAACCAAGTCTTGAGCTGTGGGGTCTCAAACTGAGGGCCATTATCAAACACCATAGACATAGGTACCCCAAACCGGGTGATGATGTTCTTCCAGATGAAAGAGATGACATCCGTTGTCTTGATGTTCTTAACCGGCTCAGCTTCTACCCATTTGGTTAAATAATCCACAGCCACTAAAATGTAGCGCTTTCCGCCTGGAGCAGGCGTATAAGGTCCTAAGATATCCATGCCCCATTTGGCGAATGGGACTGGACTGTGGATTGCCGTCAGATCAGTAGCCGGGCGGCGAATAAGAGGGCCAAACCTTTGGCATTTGTCACATCTTTTGACTAACTCTTTAGCGTCTGCTTCAAGAGTAGGCCAAAAGTAATGCCGCCTGGCTCTGACGGCTAGGGACCTATCGCCTATATGAGAGGCGCAGTACCCAACATGTAATTTTTCGAGAACTTCTTTCCCCTTTTCTGGGGTAATACACTTCAATAGAGGTTTAAGGAAACCCGCCTTGAAGAGTTCTCCGTTCCTCAACTCGAAGTTTGCTGCTCGCTTTTTCATGACTGCTGCCTCCTGTGGTGAATCAGGAATTTTGGCGTCTGCCAAATATGCCCGGATGCCATCCATCCAGGTAGAACTTCGGTCAAAGATTCCAATGGGCTCTTCATGTATGCTTCTCTTTTCAAAAACTTCCCAAAAGACCGAACGAGGAGTATCACAGCAGGCAGATGAAGCCAATTTGGACAACGCATCCGCCTGGTTGTTGTCTGACCTAGGCACTTGATTCAGACGGAATTCCTCAAGTGGGCCCGCCTCTGCTTTTACTGCCCGAAGATATTTGATCATAGCCGGATGAGTTGCCTCATATGCTCCCTCATACTGGCTGACGACCAACTGTGAATTAGAATAGGCGTCGATTTTAGTTGCCCTTGCTGCCTTACACATGCGGATTCCGGCTAGCAGGGCTTCATACTCCGCCTGGTTGTTTGAGGCTTAAAACTTAAACCGCAATGCATATTCAAATTTGTCCCCCTCAGGAGACTCATATATAATTCCTGCACCACAGCCGTTCTTCGTTGAACTTCCGTCTACATACACTTTCCAAACCTGGTCAACATTATCCGGTTGCACCGGTCGAGTCATTTCAACAATGAAGTCGGCAAACGCCTGACCTTTCAGTGCCTTTCTAGGTTCAAAAGTGATTTCAAGACTTTGCATTTCAATAGCCCATTTCAACATTCTACCGGATGACTCCAAAGTAGACATTGGCCGGTTGAGGGGCTGGTCGGTGTAGATTACAACCGGATGAGCCAGAAAATAAGGTTTTAATTTCTTGAAGGCCATATACAGGGCAAGGCCAAATTTTTCTACCATGGGGTACCGGAGCTCAACATTTTTTAGAACATGGCTAATGAAATAGACCGAAAGCTGAACACTGTCTCTCTCAGCAAGGAGGAGAACGACACTGAGGGCATGATCCGAGACGGCTAGGTACATGTATAACACCTCTCTAGGCAGTGGGCTAACAAGCCTTGGCAAGGAGTGCAAGTGTTCTTTCAGCCCAACGGCTGCCTCAGCATCATCCATCTATTCAAATCTGGCCTTCTTCCTGATTGCTTGGAAGAAGTAAAGGCATTTGTCACCAAGGCGGCCTGGCAACCGGTTAGTCTCTGTGCTTCCTTGACAGTGCGGGGTGACTTAATGTCAATCACCGCCTGTATCTTCTCAGGGTTAGCCTCTATCCCCCTTTGATCAATCAGGAATCCGAGAAACTTCCCAGACTCAACACCAAAGACACATTTCTTAGGATTTAACATAACCTTATGCTGCCTGAGTGTGGTGAAGGTTTCTCGGAGATCAGCAAGGTGATCTGCCTGCTGCTTGGATTTGACTATCATGTCATCAATGTACGCCTCTACATTCCTCCCAATTTGATTAATAAAGACCGTATTAATCATCCGTTGGAACGTAGCCGACGCATATTTCAAGCCAAACGACATCACAATGTAGCAGAATAACCCCTGATCAGTGACGAAGGCCGTCTTTTCTTGATCTTTCTTCCACAGGGGTATCTGATGGAAGCTGGAGTAGGCATCCATAAAGCTCATCAAGGCATGCCCGGCTGTCGAATCGACCAGACTGTCGATCTTAGGAAGCGGATAATTGTCCTTGGGACATGCCTTGTTGAGATCTGTGTAATCAACACACATACGCCAGGTACCATTCGACTTTTTTACAAGCACAACATTCGCCACCTAGTCGGGGAAATTACATGGCCGAATGAACCTAGCATCCAACAACTTTTTGACTTCGGCAGCTGTCGCCTGACTTCTTTCCTCGCCGTGATTTCTTTTCTTCTGCTGGATGGGCTTCTTTTTAGGATCCACGGCGAGTTTGTGGACAGTAAGATCCGGGCTGACGCCTGACATCTCTTCCACTTCAAAGGCAAAAATGTCTTTGAATTCTTTAGCAGCAGGTGCAAGTCTGCACCCAATTTTGCAAAAGCAACCGTCCCAACCTTCACGGTACGCTCCGGACGGCTGTCGTCCAGAGGTATATCAATATGTTCACCAGCCGGTTGGGGACGGAGCTCATCTGACTGTTCACCGGTCAGTGATTGCTATTTTTTCTCTTTCTTCACCTCCACCAGCATAGGTGCCTTTCTTTTCTTCCCGGCTGCTGGTGGGGCTGGTACTGGATATCAACATCCTTGACATTGTCAAGGTCTATTGGTTCCTGGCCGTCTTGGGCCACGGTATCTATGACGGCTGAGAGATAGCACCTTGGGCCGTCTTCTGATCCTCATTCAAGGAACCAACAGAGCCGTCATCCCTCTCATACTTAATGAGCATGAGGGAAGGGATGATTACAGCCTTGGATTCGTTGAGGGTTGGCCAGCCCAAGATAATGTTGTAGGCGGTCAACTCCTCAACGACCAAAAACTTGACGACCAGGTGTCGCCCTTTTCCTTTCTCACCCAGCCGGATGGGTAGATCAACCCTTCCGACTGGGTAAACCATTCCACCCCAAAGCCAACTAAGGGGTGGGTAACCGGATGCAAGCTGCTGGCATTGTATTTCAGCTTCTGCAAGCACCGGAGACTGATGATGTCTGATGAGCAGCCGGTGTCAATAAGGATCCGTCCAACCAATTGGTTGGCAACCTTACATTCAATGACGACCGGGTCATCATGTGGGCGGCGAACACTACCCCTATCCTTCTCGGTGATCATGTAGGGCCACCACATGAGAACCCGCCTGCTATTGTGTAAACCGGCTCCTTGTCGGTATCCGAGCTACTAGCAGGCTTGGGGGTAGTCTCAGACCCTTATTCTTCTTCTTTGCCCCGG